ATCCATATCTTTCTTCAAGTAAGTGAAGAACATGCCAATATTCCATACCTTGCTGATCTATTGAGTTTGTGTGATACAATGAAGTCCATGGATGCTATGAAGTGGGAGAATGCCATAGAAGAAGAATACAAATTACTCATGATAATGAAACATGGGAATTGACTCAACTTCCACCAAATCGAGCTTCAATTGGTTATAAGTGGGTGTTTAGAACCAAAAAAGATGCAATGGATAATGTTGTGAGATAGAAGGCTAGATTGATTGCCAAAGAATATTCTCAAGTTTTTGGAGTTGATTTCAATGAGACATTTGTTCTTGTAGCTAAATTCACCACTATTAGAACCATTGTGGCAATTAGGGCAGCAATGGACTTGGAGATGCATGAAATGGATGTAAAGTTAGCCTTCTTGAATGGAAAGTTAAAAGAAGACATCTACATGGATCAACCTCAAGGATTTGTTGAAGATGGCAAACAAGACCTTGTTTGTAAGTTGAAAAAATTCTTATATGGGCTCAAGCAATCTCTAAAGGCATGGTACCAATGTATTGATACATTTTTTTGTGAATGAAGGATTTGTAAGGAGTGAGGCTGATCATTCATTGTATGTGATGCAATCAAATGAGTTCATATTGATTGTGATCCTCTATGTTGATGATTTGATCATCTCAATCAATGCTATAAAGACGATGGATTGGTTGAAGATAAAGTTAGAAAAAGAATATGAAATGAATGATTTGAAAGAGCTTCAATATTATTTAAGAGTGGAGTTTGTGAGAGACTGTGCTAAGAAGACCATTACAATGAGCCAAAGTAAGTACATTGAAGAAGTATTGAAACGATTCAACATAGAGGAGTATAAGCCTATTAAAACACCTTTGGAGGCAAATTTAAAGTTGATGAAGCTTACGAAAAAAGAATTTGCTGAAGTTGAAGGACAAATATAAGATATTCCATTCAAGACATCGATGGACTCACTAATGTATGCAATGGTTGACAGAAGGATGGACCTTGCATATGCGGTGAGTGTTGTGAGTCAACACATGTCAAAGGCTGCACCAATCCATTAGGAAACCATCAAAATGATCATGAGGTACTTAAAAGATACTTTGAACTTCAAACTATGTCTTGGAGGTAATAACATTACTATACATGGTTATTGTGATGCGGATTGGGCTAGAGATGCAAATGATAGAAGGTTAAGAATAGGATATGTATTCTTTGTTGAAGTAAGATCAATCTCATGGAATGCAAAAGACAACCAACAATTACAAGGTCAACAATGGAGGCAGAGTACATGGCAGCAAGCCATAGTACAATGGAGGCAGTATGGCCAAGACAACTTTTGGAAGACATTGGAGATATGAAAATGGGAGTAATTTTAATGAAGTATGACAATCAAAGATGTCTTGAATTTGCAAAGAATCCAAAGCATCATTCAAGGACCAAGAACATTGACATTCAATATTACTTTATAAGATAGAAGATTGAAATGGAAGTGATTGATATAAAGTATTGTGCAATGGAAGACATGCTTGCTGATTTGTTGAAAAAAACACTAGTAAAGGATAGATACTACATGTTAACAAAGGTATTAGAATTAAAAGTCTTTTGATGAATAACAAAGTGTGAGTGTTGAAATAAAAGTAAAAGAAGAATAAGTTACCTTGTAGAAGATATTATCTTAGATAAGTTGCTAATAGTCAAAGAGTTGATTCTTGGTGTATAGAAAAGGCATCCTATAGATATAGGACGAGGTCAAGGTCTAAGAGTCAAAGCCAAGAGGATAAAGTATGAACTAGGGAATATCCAAATACTAGGTAAGAGTAATTAGTGTTTGGCATAGGATACCTTTGTAGTTAGTAAGATGCCAAAGGATCTAAGGATCATAGGATACCCTTGAGGTATGTTAGATACCAAAGGATTCTAAGAGCAAAGATCATGTGTATAAAAGTCAATGCGTGGAAGTTGTCTTGTAGGACAACAACCACAACCTATAAGTATTGGGTGTTGGAAGTGAGAGATATCTTATTCCATACTTTCTTTGTGTACAACCTTGCTGATGCTATGTATTATGACTTCAAAGTTCTATTTCTTCAATAATTAGTCTCACAAATCCTTCGAGTTTCATCGACATACATAAAGGTATCATTTTTATAATTGAGCTATCATAGAGCAGACTATTTCATACCTTTTCCTTCTGTTCTTCAGAGCTATTTTGTTCTTTTATGTACAAGCTACAATGTGAAGTTGCTCTAATAACTCGCCATCTTTTTTAAGTTTTAGAATTAGGGTTTTGAAGCATAGATTGAATTAGGGAGGTGTATTAAAAAACTGAATGATTCTTGCTCTTCTTAGTCTAGCATGGAGCATAAATCACTACTTTTGAAGATTTGCCTGCTTGGATTCTCTCACATATATTTAATGCAAGTCAATTTGCATGAGGCATGGTCTGTTTGGCTTTAGAACTAGCTCTTAAATTAAGATTTTTTTTCCTCAATGTTTAGTGCATGTTGTCACTGAGACCATATGCTTTGAATAACCTATAATTTCAGTAAAATGTGTTATAGGCTGCAGTAAAATGAAATTATCTTCATATCTTCTAGATATATAATGAAAAGGGCACTTCTTTGTCATAAAATGAAGCTATTATTTTATTTTCCATTTGTCTACAGATGTTGAACAAATCTCCAAAAAAACCACAAACCTATTCATGTGTGAATACTGCTAGTTTTTTAAAGTGTGTGTGTGTATTTTTTGAAAAATTAAAAATCAAATCTGCAATAAAAAATTAATGACATAAAATTTGGACTCAATGGTTATAGTTTTATTTGTAATATTGTTATCTATTATATATTTTTTTCTTTTTTATTTCCATTTTCATTCTTGTTTGTACAACTCATTGTATTAAATGTTATGTGTAAAACTTCTACCAATTTCTTCTTTCTTTTCAAGATCATATACTATGATAATAAGTCATGTGAACAACCATTGTTTGTTTACAGTTCTATGTTTCCATTATCTAAGAACTGATATTCTAAACAAGTATCCTCCCATGAGTTCAATAACTATCATTTTAAGAATATTATCCCATCACACTACTTCACACTAGTTATATTTATTAATTTTGTGTTTTATATAGTTATATACAGTGACAAACAAAACCGAATACAAAATCTGAACACTCATAGTTCATTGATCCTTCCAACTGACACATAAGTCAATTGATAGAATTACTTTTTTATTATGTGTATTCATCCAATCCTCTATATGGATGAAAAATCTCATTATCATTTGAGATAGGGTTTATGAGAAAAGTGTTGTAGAAGCACACAGACATGCGTACTCAGTTTTGGTTGCTTCTTCTTGCTGAATTTCGAAATTTCAATGTACACTCCTTGTTGCAAGATTTGAGGGCATTTTTTGTTTGTTGTGTTGCTCTTGTTGTGTACTATCTATAGTGAAAGTTGATTTGTCAATTGTATCTCTATGCCTCGGTTGTGTGAATCATTGAAGCACCAAGCATTGGTGCAGCTTAGGAGTGGTGTTTCTACAAGAAAAGTTGCAGACTCACTTGGAATGAGTCAGTCTTCAGTAGCTCATCTGAGGAGGGAGATTAGTGGTGAAATAGAAAAGCAAAGAGGAGGACGTCCAAAGGTTTCAGGAGAGCAAGAGAAGCGACTTGGTGTGCACCTTATCACTGCTGGTTGTCTCAAAATGGCAAGTACAGCTGCAATACAACTTTGAGAAAAAATAGGTAAACACTTCTCAGACATCACCTTGAGGCGTGGTTTGAGAGAAGCTGGTTTGGGTGCTTGTGTGCAACAAAAGAAGCCTCTACTTGCCAAAAGACATGTTCTTGTAAGGTTGAGTTTTGCTCATAAATACAAAAATTGGACCGTTGATGATTGGAGACAGGTTATTTTCAGTGATGAGACAAAGATTAACCTAATCAACTTAGATGGTAGGTCTTGGTGTTGGTTGAGAGAAGGAGAACGACTTGGACCTAAACATGTTAGTCAAACTGTCAAACATGGTGGTGGTTCAATTATGATTTGGGGTTATATGACTTCTTTTGGGCCGGGTGCTTGGTATCAAATTGAAGGTAGAATGGAGCAACACTTGTACAAAAAAATTTTAGAAACCTACTTGCAAAGTACCACACAGAATTACAACTTAGATCCTACTAAGGTGGTTTTTCAACATGATAATGATCCCAAACATACAACAAAAAGTGTTCAGTTTTGGCTCTCTTCATAGCCATTTCAGCTCCTTCGATGGCCAGCTCAATCTCCAGATTTGAATCCAATGGAACATTTTTGGGCCCTTCTCAAATAGCGTTTAAGCCAAGTCACGCCAAGGCCAAGAGGTGTTCAAGAATTGTGGGAGAATGTTTGTAGTATTTACCCTAGTTTTGATGCAAAAGATTGTGAGAAACTACACAAAAGTATGCCAAGAAGGATTTCAGCTGTTTTGGAAACAAAAGGTTATTGGACTAAATATTGAAGTTTGAAGATTTTCTTTGAACAATACTGAGTACAAGACATAGTTGTTGATTTGACTTTGTAGAAGGATGTTTAGTTATCAATTTGATGTGCAACTTTGTACATGTGTACGAGACTGTGTGTATTATTCCATGTAACTTTCAGATTTATAAAGCAATCATTGAAATTTCTGTAATTGCTCTTGAAAGTTGGCACTTCAGATTTTGTACTCGGTTTTGTTTGTCACTGTAGTTATATTTATTAATTTTGTGTTTTATATAGTTATATAGTTATATTTATTAATTTTTGTGTTTTCTTCGCCTGGACGATGTTGCCAATTTGTTCAGTTGATTGGCGCGCGAACAGTCGATCTCTGGGCTACTCCGAGTCGCTTTTGGAAACCGGGTGAAAACGATGGATTGACTTCCGGCACTCGCCAACGCCAAAGAATAACGGATGCGGTGGGTCCCATTTGTGTTTTTTCGCGTTCTTATCTGTCAAATTTAGGAGCGTTCGATGTCGATTCGATGCGTCGCTGTTGGGTCGAGCTTGTTGTGACTGAACCTCTGAGAGCACCAGGTTTATACGGGCTTTGGGGTTTAGGGGTTTAGGGTTTTAGGGTTTTGTTCGAACACAATCTGTGAGCACTCGGTACGTCACGATACCCACACATTGGGCATTGAGAAACTTTTCGATGGGTTATGGTTTGAAATGAAATCCAGCTCTGGGTAGTGTTGAATTGGTGAGTTGTAGAAGGATTCATTGTTGCGGTGAAGTCTCTCTCTTTTTATTTTTTATTTTTTATTTATTTTTTCTTTGTGTGATGAACTGGTAATTCATGTCTTTTTAGATGCGTCGCACAGTACCTTAGTAAGAAGCGATTGTACGGAGGCCGTTGTTGTAATTACTCTATGAAAGGTTGATTGCCAATTGTAACACGAAGGTTATTCTCTAATTCGTTTGTAAATTGTTCCTTCATTCCCTCTATTTGAAAACCCAGAATCCCTTTGTTTCTGAATCACAGCGTCGTGTGAGGAAGAACTTAGCCACTCGGAGGATGGTTAGCATTTCACATTGAAAAACCGTGATCGATGTTTTTGGTGACTCGCTCCCATGTCTGGCGTAGTTCATGCAAAGGAACACGCTTGTTTGGAGATCGAACATCTTTTGAAAGCTCGTATTTCCAATTGGGTTACGATGCTGAAGAAGAAATTGCGAGTGATGGTTTTTTTAAAAAAATAATTTTTGCAGGGTTTCCAAAGCCATGGCAGGACAGGACAACGTCCGAAAATGGTACATGAGGCAGCACGCTAGTTCTACCCCAGCAACAGCTCCTGTGAAAATCGTGAGTTGGTGTCTACATTGCTGTGGTGGTGAATTAGGGTTGAGATGATGTATGTCGTCGTTCATGTTTTGTGATAACATTCGATGCGGTGTCAACAGCCGGCAACGTTTATTTGAACTTTACAGTTTAAGGCTTAGTATAATATTCTATGATCTATGTTTTTCTAGGAACGACTTTAATGTCAATCTAACCCTTGATACGTCGCCGAGGTTTTTCAGGGCGATAGCAAAGGAGAGGAGAAGAAAGTCAAAGGTCCATCTGATCGAACTTACGCAAAACTGTCGCCGTTTGTCTTCAAGGGGCCTCTTGTATCAAATTTGCTGGTATGCATGTTTCGTACTTTGGATGATTCTTGTAGGTCAAATATTTCATATGAGTCATTACGTGAATTCTTGTTTCTGGCTTGAGAAGGGAAGCTTCAACATCTTAGCAGATTGTTTTCCGGAGACGTTTTATGATTGAACCATGAATGATCCCTGTGCTTCGATTAACCGTTTTATTCTTGTTGATTGCTTTCTCTAATAGTGGAGATCTTTTCAAGAGCGCTCTAGCAGAGTGTATACCTTAACGCGGACTAATCATGTGATGCTTATTGTCAGTTACAGGAGCCCTATTTCTTCACATTAGCTTACAATGTTTTGGTGATTTTATGAATACAGCTTCCTAAAGCCGTTTCAAACTCGTCGGTCGACAGCGTTGTGCAGGAGCTCCTGACAAGCAATGCCAAAACAGCAGGCAACATCGCTGGCACCATTGACAACCGGCTCATGGACCGGCCATACTTACTAGACAACCCTGCTACACATGGTGGGGCTGTTGAGAGAGCCAAAGATAGAGCCTTACGAGCCCGAAGCAAACGATCTGCTAAGCATTTCTCATTGCGCCAGCATCGTCTTGCAGGATCATATGACCTGTTTGCTAGATATCATAAATACGATTTGTATCTTCCCATGCATGAGATGTGGGAGGAATACGCGAAGAGTTTGTTGGTGGGGGAGTGCAACGATTCCAAACTTCGACCTCGCCTTCTCGCAGCAGACTTACATGGGGCTATACTTGCTGTGGTGGAGTCGAAGGACACATATTACGCTGGGATCCAGGGCATTATGATAAGGGAAACGGATAACACATTTGGGATTATAACTCCACAAGACAAATTTAGAGTAGTTCCAAAGAGTGGATCTGTGTTCATGTTGCAGTTAGATTCATTGCGGATCACTTTGTTTGGCAACAACCTCTCCTCTCGGCAGTTGCATCCCAGAAAGCGTCAGCAGGTATAATGTTTTTAGATTAATTATTTTTATACAAACTTGTACATTTATGTTACTTAACATATATGTATAATTGTCTTTTATAAATCAAAACTTGTTTTATGATTATACGGGTATTGTTGTTCGGATATGCTTAAAGATTATCAAAACAAATTTCAAAGTTATTATTTATTTATTTTTATTTCTGTTTATTTAAAAAAAAAATCTCTGTATTATATTATATAAATATCATTTATAATGTATTTGTATGTTTTTGGTTTTAATATATGCTTCTAATCTAGTAGATGAACAGATTTGACTTTGAGATTGTAGGATAAGTATACTTTGTTCAACAAGCATGAAGATTCTAAATTTCTTCGTGAGATAAGAGATATTTCGGTATTTCAAAAGATAAAAAGATACTAAAATTAAGTAAAATATGTTTACTTAATATAGATTCTCTCTTGCCCTTTTATTACTACTTTTTATAGTCACTCTGTCCTGTCATTTATAAACTAAAATTAGTAACAAAATATTATAATGCAAAAATAAAGAAATAAAAAAGTAATATTTTTATTTGATTTTATCACATGTATAATATTTTTTTATTTAATATTTATGATAATTTTTAAAAAATTACTGAATCATAGTTTAATTATATATAAATATCTATTAAAGAAGAAATAGATACTCAAAATAAAAAACTTTAAGGTGAAAAGTTTTTATTTATTTATTTAATTATTTTTTTATAGATGTATCTTCCTGTTCACTTTCATTAATTTTTTAATTATGATTTTTCTTTCTTGCACAAAATTTCACAAAAAATTATAATTTTTCTAAATCTGCTTCTTGGACATTTTTAGGAAATTTTAGGTTCTCATAGCTGATTTTTCTTACTCAATTGCTATCACTTAAAATTCCCTCTCCTTCACTTCACACAATTGGTACATCCAATTCTTTTCACAGAAAAAATAAAAATAAATTATGATACTGATTTTTTTAAAAAAATAATACACATATTAATTTATTAATTATTAATATTTTATTAATATTTTATTAATATTTTATTACATATTATAAATTTTTTATAATAATTTTCAAATTTTTGGTGCTTCTTTTATCTAAGAGACATTTCATCTATTTTTTTTAGTATTTTCTCAATTCAAAAGTCACACCTTGTTTATCCATTTGTATTATTAATTATGCACCTTATTTATCTTACTAACCCTTCATTTGTCCTTCCTATACTTCATTTATCTTGACAAGGTCTTGTTTTTTGCTTTAATTTTAATTTTAATTTCATTATTATTTATTTTGATTTTTTTTAAATTTAAATATATTCATCTAATTTAAAATATTTTTATTTTATTCTATCATGATTATTCTCCTCAACATCATATTGCTAATCATTTCCATATCCTTGATCAATATATCAAAGTTATAAATTATCTTATATTTTGTTTTTTATATAATAATTTAAATTAGATTTATTTAAGTAAGTAAATAAAAATGAAAGTAGAATAAGTACATTATAGAAGATATTACTTTAGATAAGTTGCTATCAATCAAAAGGTTGGCTCTTGGTATGTAAGAAGGTCAAGAGATAAGATAGACAAACGGACAAAAGATCTTAAGTATATAGAAAATATGCTAAAAATATATTCTTATAGTAGATAAAATAGCTATAGATAGTCTTGATAAAATGTTAGATGGATGTATTCATCAAAGGATGGAAGTTGTCCATTAAGACAACATCCACCACTTATAAGTAATGGATGTTGGAAGTAAGAGGCATCTTATTCCATATTCTCTTTGTGAGCAACCTTGCTAATGTTATGTTTTGGTAACTTCAAAGTTCTTTTTCTTCAATGAGTTATGAGCTCACTCACCTTTAGTTATGAGTTTTGAAGTTCTTTAAAGTCTTTCTCATTGTAAGGAGTAGATCTTATGATTGTTGCTGATATTAGGATTTGATATCTTCTAAACTCCCTTTTGCATCTAGTTATTGATGTAGTTTTGCTCTTGTTATTAAGTACAATCATTGTCTTAATAGGTATCAATCACCTTAGAATGATATTATAGAACAATAGTATTGTGTTTTTTTGTTAAGTTACATAACTGGTGCACTAATATTATGCTTTTGTATATTGAATATCTTAAGAGGTTTTCTTATAGTGATAAGAAGATATTTGTGAGATTAGAAGTGTTTTTATGAGAATTGAGAGTGATTAAAGAGTGAAATCACTAGTTTACTCACAAAAAAGGTATTATGGGTTTTTAAAGCAATTAGATCTTTTTCTTTATTTAGAAAGCTTTATATTTTCTTTTCTTGATCATTTTTGATACACCTCTTCATTAGACATGGCTTCAAGTGAGAGTGAAGACTTGAGAGTAATAGAGAAGTTTAGAGATGACACTTTCTACCACTAAATGAAAAAAATAGAACTTTTATTGGCTTCATTTGACCTTTGGAACATTGTCCATGAAAGTAAAGAGCCTCTAAGAAATGATAATGATGTTAAAATAAAGAAGAAGTACAAACATTATAAAAGTTTACTTACAATGGACCAATGGAAGCATGGAAGACTCTTTGCAATATCTGTGAAAGTAGAAACCTTGCTAACATTCCATGGACAAGGAAGAAGTTTTCAATAATAAAGATGGAAGAAGGAGATGACATCATGGCTCATATAAAAAAGATAAAAATACTTGCAAATCAACTAACAGTTATTGACAAGCTAGTTGATAATAAGGACATTGTATTAATATTTCTTATGAGCCTTTTCAAATCTTATAATTATGTCATTGTAGCATTGGATTCTATCAGCTCTTATTATAAATTATTTTATAATAAGAATTGCCTATGAAGTGACCAAGAAGAAAAAAAAAACTTCAAAGTGATGATTTGGCTTTATTTTCAAGACAAAGAAAAGATAGCTATTTTCACCAACATAATAATTTAAAAAAACAACATGAAAAATTGCTACATGTATAGAAAAGTAGGATACTTTGCTAAATATTACTATAAAGCTAAGAAATGAAATAAGAAGAATGCAAATAATGTTAGTGATAGTTTTGATGGAAATAATTATGCTTTCATGGCAAGTGAAGGAGCCTCTACAGTTGCTATGTTCAAGTAGATTATAGATTTGGGTACTACTAAGCACATGATACCATATAAGTATTCATTTGATACTTATGAAGAAATTCCAGCAACAAATATTTGATTAGAAAATAATGACATAATGCAAGCGATTGGAATTGGCTCCATTGTCATTGAAATCATTTTGAAGGACTAAATGAAGAAGATCAAATTGAAAGAAGTCTTATATGTGCTAGAAATAAAGAAGAACCTCCTTTCAATGAACAAACTTCTATCACATTGTTGAAAGATTCACTTTGATATGAATGGATGTTTTGTGAAGACATTGAGTAGACAACATGTTGCTAAAGGTCTAAGAGATGGCAATTTCTACCTCATCAATTGTAAGAAGGTGAATGGAATTGAAGTAGTAGTATTTGTTGAGTTTTTACAAAATTAAGACAAGTTTGAAATTTGGCATCAATGACTTGATCATTTGAATGCAAAAATCATGAAAGAACTTCAATCCAAGGTAAGTGGCTTAGATTTTGGTTAATTCAATTACAATGCTATGACACTTATTTGTGAAGGTTGTATCTAAGGCAAACAATAAAAGGCTTCATTTCCAAAAGAAGTTATAACATGTGTTAGCAAATTATTAGAGATTATAGATTATAATGTTTATAGACTATTGAAGATGCTATCAATTAAAGGAGTAAGATAATTTGTAGCATTTATTGATTATTTTTTTAAGAAAGGTGTGGATTTACATCTTTAAAGCCAAGAATGAATATTTTTCAAGGTTTAAGGAATTTAAGGCACTTGTAGAAAAGCAATGTGAGTGCAAGATTAAAGTGTTGCATACAAACAATGGTGGTGAGTATATATAAAAGAATTTTGATGATCTTTTAAAGATTTAAGGCATTGGAAGAGAAACCTCTATTCTTTATATTCTACAATGAAATGGAATTAGAAAAACAACAAATTACACCATTGTAGAGATGACAAGGAATATACTTCAAGTAAAAAAATTTGGACATGAATATTAAGTAAAAGTTGTGGTTATGGTAGTGTATTCAAGGAATAGATGCCTTTTAAGTAAATTCAAATTAATAACTCGATAAGAAGCTTGGAGTAGTAAAAAACCTTGTGTTTTATAAATAAAATTTTTTGGATGCATTTCTTATGTAAAAGTACCAAATTATATGAGGTTCAAACTTAATGCAAAATATACAAAATATTTTTGTTGGATATTTTAAAGGTATCAAAGTATACAATCTTATTTGTTTAGAAACTAAGAAGATCATTAAGAGTTGTGATGTAGAATTTTTGGAGCATAAGAGTGCTTGTTTTTGGAAATGTGTCAAAGTGAGAGTAATGGTGTGTTTGTCAACACATCTCTAATTCCAACAAAGAAAGAAGAAAATGATGACAATGAAGATGGTAAAGATATGAGTGAAGATGAAGAGCCAAAAAAGGTAGATTAAAGTCTGTCTACAATTTTTAGAACTAACAATAAAGACAATTAAGATGTTGAAGATGATGATAATGAAGAGTATCAACCATTAACTATAAAGAGATAAGCTTCAAGAAAGAAAAATATTGCAAAAGATCTTGAAGTACAAGAAGGTGAATCTTTATCAAGTAAAAAGAGATATCCTTTGAAAGATAGAAAAAAACTTGGTAATTGGTAGATGGATTATATCTTTCCTCAAATAAATGAAGAATATATCAATATTACATTCTTTACTGATTAATTGAATTTGTGTGATGCAATGAAGTCTATGGATACTATGAAGTGAAAAAATTCCATAGAAGAAGAATAAAAATCATTCATAGATAATGAAAAATGAGAAATGACTCAACTTCCATCAAATCAATCTTCAATTGGTTGTAAATAGGTATTTAGAACCAAGAAAGATATAATAGATAATATTGTGAGATACAAGGATAGATTGATTTCTAAATGCTATTCACAAGTTGTTGGTTTTGATTTCAATGAAACATTTATTCATGTGGCCAAATTCAACACTATCAGAACCATTAT